GACACTCCTCGATGGATCCCAGATACCAGCACTCAGAAATGGCTGTGATTGCTCATGTACATCAAATGCATAAAAGCGTCTCCATAGTTTAAAAATATAAAAAGCATTTATTGATTTAAAAACTCATACACTCACATTTTAGTTGAGATTAATCACGCATATCAACAAACAAAAAGCTGGCATGTAACTTATAATCAGCGTTGGCATCAGAAAGAGGCTCCACCTGACCAGTTTTGCCATCAACAGATGTCTTCCAGGGCTAGGAGCAATACACTGAGCCTTTGTATACAAATACCCTCATACCGCAAACTATGCCTCATTCCCCCTTTGGAACGAAGTCTCCTTCCGCTCTGTAGTTAAGATGGCCAAGCCTCGTTCCCAACTCCGAGCCGAGGCAGGCTAAATCCAAGCCTCATTCTGATTCCTAGATCGCATCCCTATGCATCACTTCCACATATGCAAAGACAGCCCACAAACACAACTAGATCAACTATTAAAGAGGAACTTTATCTTGGAAGAAACAAACACCACCTTCCCTTCCCTTTTGGAAACAAAAGCACATTAATATTACATAACCTTTCTACAGAGATACTTATCTTCATAGATGTTCCCCAAAAAAGTATGATAAAGTCTGTTCAAAATGGTTAGCAGAATCCTCTATGGCTTCCAATTTATGTGTCTAGGAAAGATCGCCGGTAATTTATTCCAACTGCCCATCTGATATACCAGGCGAACACTAAGTACCTGGGTTTCTTCTGGCTGCACAATATGGCAACATGCTTGTATTTCCATTTTCTGTGCATGAGTCCACGCCTGCACTGTTGCATTGTTCCGTTGCCTATTCATGAGGGCCCTATGGCTACTTATGGTCAATTGTTTACTTATGTGAGGCCTCTGCATGGGCTAAGTACCTTTTATGATGTGTTGTTTGCTGTATGTTTTTTGTTTAATCCTCTGAAACATCAATAAAAAGATGTTTAAAAAAATGGACAGCTGGCACTTCATCCTTCAATTCACCTGCAATAAGTTCACTAGAGTAGTAATCAGTTTACAGTTTGTAGGTGGCAATTGAGGAAGGAACAGTATAGAAAATGTTGTAATACTTCACTAACAGCAACTCCTTCACATTGTCCCAATCTTTGTGGCTTGTTTCATTTCTTGATGTGACCACTGACCTCTTTATTGATTTTACTGTGCTGTTTCATTTAGAAACATAAAGCAACTTTGGTTTGGCCCATCAAAATTATTTTGACTCGGCTGTTTTCTGCTTTACAATTGCACTGATTGTGCTATACTGTAGGAATCAAAGTGAACAGTTCCCTTACTGGCTGAGGAATCTCTTTACTATGAAGTCATGTAATATGCAAACAACAAAGTAAGAACTTCTTCTCTGTGCCTGTCATATTTATGATCATATTTCCTTTAGTTAGGAATAAACATCACTGTTTGTTAAGTTAGAGAGCAAAATAGATAAACCAGAAAAAATCCACCAGAGGTCCAATATGGTGCCACTGGCCATATTTTATACACTATTTGACTACCTGGTAATAAACTCCTGCCAAAAGGACAAAATAAAATATACTGGTGATTTTGTCTTTTCCCTGGGTTATCTGGAGATTCAGACTTTTCCTGGTGGACATCTCATAGTCTGATTTTTTGGTCACAGCTTCAAGATATCTTTTTCATCCCTTCAAAGGTCAGATCAGATCCCCCTATTTGAGAATTTTAGGTTTCATGTTTGACATGTGACTCCTCCACTACCTTATATAAAACATCTGCCAAAAAAACTCCTAGAAGTAAAAGTCTCTGTTCTTTGAAATCATATGGCAAGTGTTGATTCCCAGGCTAAATTTCCTTACATGATCAAATGGGTGCCAGACTGTGATATTCCTCTTACCAAAGAAGATTGGATCGATTGCCTTACAAACCTCCGTAGGTGTACCAGGTCACTTACAATCCGTGAAACTGTGATAAAGCTTCTTACAAGATGGTACTTAGCTCCAGTGAAACTACATACTATATTCCCAACTGTACTGTCTACCTGTTTTAGAGGATGCCTCTCTCCATATTTTCTGAACCCGCGAGAAAGTTTCTCCAGTTTGACGGAAGTTGGATGAGTTTTCCTAGAAGATAGCTGGTAGATCAATTAAACTGAGAATGGCTAATAGTCTGCTCTTTGCCTCTATCACAGATATTCCCCATCTTTAAATGACAAGTATCCATACTATGTGTATAGCTATTCACAGGGTAATGCATTACAATGGAAGACTTCAATTACCCTGCTTCACTTGTTAAAATAAGAAGAGATTCCATTTTGCGTATGGAGAAGATCTTCCATACAATATATAATACAGTGGCATTATTTGGCAAATGGAACCCCTTGTTTGAATGCGGTCATCTCTTCCAATTATTTCCCTATGTCTTTTATTTGTTTGCTTTTATTTGGCATTACTCTCGAGGAACCTGTAGAGAGGTTACAAAATATGTTACTTACTCTTATGACTATTATTAAATGCTCTGTTGGAATTCTGTTTGCACCTATTAGTCGACTCTACTTATTTAATAAGAGATGTAATAACCCTTACTTACGACCAGGGGCGGACTGACAACTCATGGGGCCCCCGGGCAATAGGGGATCATGGGACCCCTGTGTCCTTGCCCAAACTCAAAAAAGCCTATGAAAAAGGTACCAGGGGCATCTCATGGGGCCCCCTACTGACCCTGGGCCCTCAGGCGGTGCCCGAGTTTCCAAATGTTCAGTCCACCCCTGCTTAGGACCCTTAACATGGAAGATTCAGAACACTTTTTTGAATCTTTGTACTATTTTTGCTATCAGTGCATGTCCACTTGCACAATTGTACTTTGTTTTCTCTCTTGTACCAACTTAAGAAAAGTTTGTAAACAAGCAAAAAATTTACCTTTCCCTTTCATCTGGAGCTTAATACTACCAATATAATTCCCAACATAAGTCAAAGCTCAACAGTTAATAATATGGACAGGCAGCAAAAGCACAATCTGCATGAAACACCAACCTAATAAAAGATCCATCATGGCAAATCCTCTGTTATCTTTATAAAGTATAGGATAAGTCAGGGCTATGGTTCACTGTTAATGTGGCGCTCTTCACAAATACACCAAATGCAGAAAGTGTATTTTTAGGTGAAAAGAGATCTCACTAGGGTCTAACCGATTCATTCATGACAAATATAAGTACTGTGAGAAGCATATGCCTTTCCACTGAGATCAGACCAGATACAGAAGCTGACAAACAGATATGTAAAAACAGTAACACATATATTATCATAAATTATGAATCATTTCGCATTTGAAAACAGAATAATAAAATGCAAATGTGTATTATTTGGAGCCTACTAATACACTTATACTTTGTTTTCTAAACATCTCTTGACAAATTTGGTGCACATTACCATTTCCTCTGTACCTTCTGCTCTTCTGTTTTGCCAAGTCAAAAAAACATTCTCTCCAGGGGCAGCTTAAAGTATCTAGAAAAGGCTTTTATCTACACGAAAACCTCTGTGTTCTTATGTTTGTAATTATTAAGGGCACTCTCAAGAAAGATGAAATAGGACTGGCTTTTCAACTGTAGTGCTTAGTAATAACATTTAACAGGATTTACAAGCTTCAATACCTAAGCCATGTATCTGATCTCATTGCTGCCCAACCTGTAACGGATAATGGTGTCAATTTTGAAGTGGTGCAGTTTTGCCCTTTACCTATTTATTTATCACCTCTATAGTTTAACCCCATGATACACATTTGTATCTAAATGTGTATAAGTCTATAGGTATACTGTATGCACATGTGTAGCTATACTGTCCTAGCCAATCCCATTCCCTTTTTTGTTTGTGATATTGAAGCTCATACTTTGTAATGAAATGGTACATGGAAAGTAATACATTTTTTTAATGGTGTGTATGTATGAATTACTGAGAGTTTGGCAGTGAGCAGTGGAGAGGTACTGCTTTCTATATTATTTATCAAATCTGGCTGTATAAACCAGTGGATAAAAAGAAGGACATAAACAGGTACATCAGAGGATGACACCTAGCACAATATCTGCTATGTAGTAGAAAAGATGCCTATTAAGTTGCAGTAGAAAAGATGCCTATTAAGTTGTTTGCAGAGCAGATTTCCTGCTTGAATCATTTTACTATATTGCATTACCAACCAGAGCCATTGCAGCAATCCTTCTGCCTAGGTCACAGCTTTGGAAATAGAGAACAGGACAGTAGGTCCCATTTTAGAAGATGGGTTTATGATACGTTCATAGAACATTTCTCTAAGTAAAAGCAAATAAAAGTAAACTCCACAATACAATATACTCACCTTCAACTTCCAGCAATGCAATGGTTAAACCCCACTCCAGCCACGGTCATCTGCTCTCCAGATGCAGAGTTTTGCACCTCTTGATTGGCCGGCGGGGGATGATGTCATTCCGCTCATGCACACAGTGGTCTGTCATTCCGGCACAGCCAAAGTGTGCTGGGAATGCATGCTGAGCTGCACATGTACAGCTCAGTGTACAGTATACATTCAATAGGAAACTGTGAGCATGTAGATACGTTTGTATTACTGTAGAAGAGACATAGTGGGGTTGATTTACTAAAGCTGGAGAGTTCAAAATCTGGTGCAGCTATGTATGGCAGCCAACCTGCTTCTAACTTCAGCTTGTTCAATTAAGCTTTGAAGAAAAGCCTGGAAGCTGGTTGGTTTCTATGCAGAGCTGCACCAGAATTTGCACTCTCCAGTTTTAGTAAATCAACCCCTCTGTGTCTCTTCTGCAATAAAGAACGTCCTGCCTGCAGCTCTCAAAACGTTATGCCTCATGTACACTGCATCTGATAAACTCACGTTTAGGAGCTGTTCCGCATTTTTTTCAGCAGCCGCTGAACTCACCCTAATGTTTTCCTATGTGTCCATGTACACATCTTCGTTTACAGTTGTTTACAGGCATTTGAGTTTACATTCATTTTTTTGAACGCAGAAAACTTGCATTTAGCAGTCGATTTTATCAGCGTTTCAAACTCAAAATGCTTGTAAAAGTGGCTAAACACGGCTAATCACGTTTATAAGCGTTTGCGTCTGGAATTTTTTTTTAACTCTTTCAGTTCCCGATGCTGTCCAGAGCCTAGTTTCATCATGAAAAATGCATGCAAAGCGTTTTAAAGGTACTCAGATGGACAAAACACTGAAAACATGATGTTCCTACCAAGCTTATCACACATTGAATGACCACTTAACACCTCAGACCTCTCACACCCTTGGAAACAAAAGATATGGTAATTACCATTCACATCTCCAGGGGTGGACTGACAACTCATGGGGCCCCCGGGCAATAGGGGATCATGGGACCCCTGTGTCCTTGCCCAAACTAAAAAAGCCTATGAAAAAGGTACCAGGGGCATCTCATAGGGCCCCCTACTGACAGCGGGCCCTTGGGCAGTGCCCATGTTTCCAAATGGTCAGTCCGTCCCTGCACACCTCAAATTCCTCATGAAGACCCCCTGCCAGGTGACCTTAATGACTCACTCCACCAGACACCTTTCCCACCCTTGGAAACAAAAGAAATGTTAATGAGCAACTCACACCTAAGCTAATTTCAACACATACTGCTGTCTCTGCTTCTACTCTCTGTATTTCTCTGAAATAGTCTGAAATAGTTAATAATTTACCACTTATTCTGGACATTTGGGAGGTTCTCCTGTGCTTATCTTTAAAAAACACTTCTAAACGCAAATGCACATAAACGCGTCATGCAAACGCGGCTAAACAGATGTTTTTTAACCTACGTTTTCCAGCAGTCAGTTACCATCATTTAGAAGTGTCCCGTGTACATGGGGTTTAGTTTTGCTTTAAGGTTTTTAATGCATGCAGCAAGTGTTTCTCTGCAAATTATGTCTTTTTGTAACTTCCATTGTAAAGCTGAAGACCAACCCCCCCCCCCAAAACAAATATTGTCGAAATACAAGAGGCTTGTATGTTCCTGCTTTTATCCTTTTGTTACTTTTGTGCACATTTCTGTAATATAGTATGAAACAACTTCTGCACTTTGCCTGTGCATGACTTTCATATAATATAGACCAGTTGCTGTTGCTCTTTCTCCTTCTAATGGGTAACTGGTCATGTATTCACCTTCCTGTAGTTTTCTTTAGGTAAGTGAATCTGCTGGGCCCATCCCACAGCTCTGTTCCCAGGCTATGTGCAGCATGTTATGATTTTACCACTATTTTACCAAGGTAATATCAGATTTTGCAAAGCATTTTGTGCACACAAAGAGAATTTATATGCTTTGTGGACGTTGAGGAATTGTGCCTGGTGTTAAGTCCTGGATTTTTCTTGAACTTCTGTTAATTGCTATGGGTTACAGAGCTCAATTGATTTTTTTCATGCCACTTAAAGAATATCCGCACTTTTGTTTGAGTAAAACAAATTTCCTCTGGGAGATCAATGTACATCGAAAGGATTTTAATAAACATGTCCTGCAGACCCCTTTCTGTTTCTGCTCTGAAAAAAGATGCATGTTCTACTATGTTCTTGGAATACTGACTCCGAATGGGAGATAATTTTTCATTATTAAGCAGTTAATGAGGAAAGTTGCAGGGTCTGCATCTCATTAGAAGTAATTAAAATGATTGTAAAGGGATATATATATATATATATATATATATATATATATGCAGTGTATATATATACTATTTTGACAAAAGTATCAGGACACCTGTCTTTCCGCGCATATGAACTTTAATGGCATCCGAGTCTAATCCGTAGGGTTCAATATTGAGTTGGCCCACCCTTTGCAGCTATAACAGCTTCAACTCTTCTGGGAAGGCTGTCCACAAGTCTATGGGAATGTTTGACCATTCTTCCAGAAGCGCATTTGTGAGGTCAAGCACTGATGTTGAATGAGAAGGCCTGGCTCGCAGTCTTTGCTCTAATTCATCCCAAAGGTGTTCTATCGGGTTGAGGTCAGGACTCAAGTTCAAGTCCCAGTCAAGTTCCTCCACCCCAAACTCACTTATCCGTGTCTTTATGGACCTTGCTTTGTGCACTGGTGTGCAGTCATGTTGGAACAGGAAGGCCATCCCCAAACTTTTCCCACAAAGCTGGGAGCATGAAATTGTCTGAAATGTCTCAGTATGCTGACACTGACACCTTTAGAATTCCCTTCACTGGAACTAAGGGGCCAAGCCCAACCCCTGAAAAACAACCCCACATCATAACCCCCCCTCCACCAAACCTTTACACTTTGCACAATGCAGTCAGGCAAGTACCGTTCTCCTGGCAACCACCAAACCCAGACATATCCATCGGACTGCCAGACAGAGAAGCGTGATTCATCACTCCAGAGAACAAGTCTCCACTGCTCTAGAGTTCAGTGTTCAGTGGTGATGTGATTCACACCACTGCATCTGACACTTTGCATTGCACTTGGTGAAGTAAGGCTTGGATAACAGCTGCTTGGCCAAGTAAACCCATTCCATGAAGCTCTCTACGCACTGTTGTTGTGCTAATCTGAAGGCCACACGAAGCTTGGAGGTCTTTAGCTATTGACTCTGCAGTCAATTGGTGACCTCTGTGCACTGTGCCCTTCAGCATGCGCTGACCTCACTCTGTCATTTTGCATGGCCTACCACTTCGTGGTTGAGTTGATGTTGTTCTCAGTTGCTTCCTCTTTGTTATAATACCACTAACAGTTGACTGTGGAATATTTAGTAGCAAGGAAATTTCCCGGATGGACTTATTGCACAGGTGGCAACCTATCACGGTACCATGCTTGAATTCACTGAGCTTCTGAGAGCGACCCATTCATTCACAAATGTTTGTAGAAGCAGTATGCATGCCTAGGTGCTTGATTTTATACATCTGTGGCCATGGAGGTGATTGGAACAATATAGAGAAAAAAAAAAAATAAAAATATATATATATATATATATATATATATAAAATTACAAACATGGTCTAATTACCTGCTCTGTGCAATAGTTTTGCACAGAGCAGCCCAAATTCTCCTCTTCCCAGGTCCTTACAGGTGCTCCTGGCTCCTTCCCTTGCTGAGTGCCCTATAGCAAGCTGCTTACTATGGGAGCACTCATGCAGGTTTGCTCCTGAGCCATGCTCTGTGTGTCCATTGACACACACAATGTGGTTCTGCTCCTTCCCTTCTCCTTCCTCACTGGCTGTGATTTCCAGCAGCAGGAGCCAATGGCTCCTAATGCTACCTCTGAGCCAGTGAAGAGAGAAAGAGCAGCAATGATGCTCTTGGGCACAGCACTGGATTGAGCGTGAGCTCAGGTAATTAAAAGGGGGGAGGTTTGGGGGAAGCTGTGCACTGAAGGTTTTTTTTTACCCTAATGCATAAAACACATTAAGGTAAAAAAAAAACTTCTGTCTTTAGGACCCATTTAACCCTTTTGGAGTATCTGGCAAAAAATTGTATTTTTAATTCAGAGGATGCCTAAAATCTGATTTATATCTTAGTGCAGACGTCTGGGAAAATCCATGAGCCACTCACACAACCAGGAAATGACAATTCTGGGGTACGTTTTGTACACCAAGCTGCAGATTGAAATGGAAAGGTAATATTTAACTTTAAATTACCATATGGTTTGTGTAGCCATTGTACTGTGTATGGTATACATTTTGTGCTATATTTTTTCCATGAAAGTGGAGTTACCCTTTAAATTATATGTGTCTGTGTTCTTTGTTTTGGTTTATTGATGAATTGATAAACTTAGCTAATCTGTACCATCATTTATCATGTCAATAATTACAGACAGGTATTCCTATGGTTGGGTTTTATCTATAGCCTTTTGTTTTTATATGTTACCAATGTAAATAATATTTGTAAGTTTGTAAATCTTTTAATACCTGAACTGCAGGAATGACAGTAGGCAGCTGATTGGTTGCTCTGGGACATCATGGGACATTAGCACACTATTCATACATTATGTGGATAAGAGAGGATTAAAGGCTGTGCTTAATACCTACATTTTTAAAATTAATACTCTTTCTTTAGTCACTTTCCTGTGTTTAAATCCTTGTCTAACTGTAGCCATTCCAGGAATTTTTGGTTTTGTGAGGCTGAGACTCAGTTGTCCATCAACTTAAAAGAATCTGGTTAAATATCATAGACAGCCTGCAGCTAAATGCGGGACTTAAGTTCCTCTGATTGTTCTGTGAAGATGTCTCAAAATTGTGTTTAAATATATCAAAACATAAATTACTCATAAACAGGAAAAGAGAGTCCAAAAAGACAACACTTAAAGCACTGTATATCTAAAGCCATTTTTTAATTTTAGACAGAGCAGAGGAGGTTAAAACCATCATTTTTTGTGTTATATGTATCTCATTAGGGAGACTTCCCTGCACGTCCTGTATCAAATCCTCTTCTGATGACAAGTACAATTGTGGATTTATTCTTACTTTCATTCTTGGTGACATTGGTGAGCAGGCAAATTGGAGAGAGTGAATCTCCCTAACAAGGAAACAGACAGCAATACAAACCTGACAGTGATTGTAAACCTTCACCAGCTAGTTATACTTTAAAATGTGTAAAAACGAAAAAAAAAAATCTGTATTTTTTACTTACCGGTATATGTGACTATATAGAGGCATAGAGTCTTATAATATATTTAATAAAAACAAAACTAATAAAAAACATTTATTTACATGTACATTTTATTTTAGAATTACCTCTAGCCTACCTGTTTCTGGAGTTTGCCTAATTCCTGGATTAGTGGAGATAGAAAAGCCCGAGGAAAACACCAAGACTTTATTTTATCGGAGCTGACTGGCTCAGACCCAGAGAACCTAAGTAACTTAAGAATATCATAAAACATTGCTAGTCCATTGCAAAATGTGTTCTGCATGTAGCCAGCCTATTCATATCACTTTCAACAGGTTTTTATTAAAGTTTACCGAAGTGAAGTTATTACAAAGTACTACTAAAATAGGCAAATGTGGCCAATGCATAATTATACTGTATATCAGAGATATAGCCATCAATAACATTGAGTCAGATTTAAACATACCAACAGTCCATAGGTATGCAGGACATTAAAGAGGGACGTTAGTCAGAAAATTAAGTCCGATAAATCACTTCAGGCTGGCCCTTTTGCAGGTATAGTTGAGTAAAACATTAAAAATAAGTACTTATGCTGTTAAAATCCAGTAATGCACGGAATCACCCTGCTCTGCATGTGCTCAGTTGTTCTCTATTCTTGGCCTTGTGCTGCAAATCTGAGCCACTAGAGGCTGACCTGCTAACAGCCTAAAGATTTATGGCAGCTCAGGGGTTCTGGACTTCAGCAAAATTGCAGCTTGTGACACAGACACAGGAGCAATGCTGGAGGCAATTTACAGCACACACTAATTTTGGTAGCATAGTTAGTAGCCTCCCTGGCGGTATTCCCGAGTGTAGCTCGAGGTAAAGTTTCAGTACCACAAGCGGTAACCCCGAGCTACACTCGGGCTTACCATGCGGCGCTGCTCCGGGATCCCTCGGTCACTTACCTTGTCCTGCGCTCCCGCCATGTCCCTCCTGCAGTGTCCCCGGCAATGTAATCCGGAGGATGCCGGCATCTGTCATCTGGGTTCCGTTCCCTGCGAGCGTCGGGATGTAGGGAGACGGAATGGTGGGAATCAAACCATTTCACATACATTTTGTCCCTAGTGCTTTGTCCTGTGCCCTGCCTACATTTTTACTGTTCTTTCTGCCTGGAAACTGAGAAATGTCCATGGCGTCCAAAAACCGGTTTTAGACCAGCTAGAGAACAGCGATAGTAAATTAGAACTACTTGCAGAATTGAGTGATAATGATTCGTGGGGATATTCGTCATCAGACACTGAAAACAATTTTGCGACTTTGCTCAGTTATGTGCGAACTTGGAGTTATATTTCAAATTTCAGTGTTTTTGGTTTGATTATATTATTGAATTAAACGTATTATTATTATATTATTATTTTTTATGATTATTTATTAAATTAAAAATGTATGATTTCGTGTTTTAAGTTTTATCCTACCCAGGATGTTTACTAGACTCTTGTTCGGACAGATTTCAGTGAGTTATTCCTAAAAATTACAGGCCTACAATAAAAAAAATACATATTTCCATGCAAAAAAATGTACCGCTTTGAGCACAGAAATATGGACATAATCAGACCGCTAGGGAGGTTAATTTGGAATATTCCTTGCTAAAGAATATCATTTTTTTATCAAATTGTTATGGGTAAAGTTTTTCTTTAGACTGTGCTGCAAGGGTGATCCATGGCTGTCCAACAGGGACCAAGGTGGCTGGCAAAACATTAACCAGGATGTGCTGCTAGATCCCATTCATAGGTTTAGTCTACTTCAAAGAGAAAAACCATAGAAGAAGTAAAAGAGTTTCCATGCCAGGGAGATGAAAAGAGGTATCAAAGAGGATAGACAAGGGAGGGGAAAAGAGGGGGAAGAAGGAGGACATCGAAGACACCCAGTCCAGGACCCTAAACTCAACACCAGGGGTGGACTGACAACTCATGGGGCCCCTGGGCAATAGGGGATCATGGGGCCCCTGTTTCCTTGCCCACACTCAAAAAAAGCCTATAAAAGGTACCAGGGGCATTTCATGGGGCCCCCTACTTACCCTGGGCCCTCGGGCAGTGCCCGAGTGCTCGACTGGTCAGTCCACCCCTGCTCAACACATTCAAGGTTCAATAGCTTTCTATAGGCATAAAGGGATGGGCATATTGTATTCAAGAGATCCATGTCGCAAGACATTTCTTAAGCCGGCCATACATGAGTCGAATTCTGACAAAAACTTTCTTTTGCAAAGCTTTTCTAAGAATTTTAGTTCACAGTTTGCACCATTATTGGGCCACAGAAATGGCTGATTTTTGTGCTACCATCGAATTTGAGAGATCTGGCAAGTTGGAATTTTTTTTAAAATGAACAAATTTCTAATCAATGATGGGAGAATCCTGTGAGAAATGTAATCGAAAAAAAGAAACCAGCATGAGCTGTGACCTGGAGAGAAAAGAATATTCTTGGCCACCAAAATTCTTTTCTGTAGCAGCATGTAAAAGTGAAGGCTTGGTTGTTCGAATTTTGAAATCAATGGTGGCACCATTGGATTACAAAATACATGAAATTTCTGATTTTCCAAAGAAAATTAATTTGGAATTTGACCCATGTAAGGCCTGCCTTAGTCTAAAAGAATGCTGGTAAGTTCTTTGTTGAAAAAGAAACCGTTGATACAGCGACGAACATTGCTGTGTCAACCCACAAGTTCACACATGTTCCTGATCTGCTGTAATGTGAACCTCGCTTTACTCCTTAATTCATACCTTGTGTCATGTTCTGTATTTTAAAATCATTCTCATCTATTGTTATTTTAACATTGTAATAAATCAATAAAAATGTCCACGTACAAAACTATATCCAGACTTTCCCTCACTAGCTGTTTCTCATCTCAGATCACTATGATTTGCACTGTGCATGACTTACTAAGACTTATTCTGTCCAAATTTTCAATGCTTGACAGTTGGAGGGGCTAGAAAAACAGAATTTTGAATCATGAAAAAGAAAGCAAAATAATTATTCTTAAGAAGCAAAATAAATAAATAAAAAAACCACCACAAATATAAGGCATGTAAAATGTGAATGAAAAACAATAATTTCCTAAAACTTCATAGGGGGCAAGCTTTTAGACAGTCTGGGCACAACATTGTAGTGGCAATCTGCCAGAAGCTGGTAGCATTTGTGTGCACACACAGAAATTCTGCCATGTTAAGCAGAAAAGGGGCAGAGAGAGGCCATTCATTGAGTGGTTTAGTTCTGCTTTATGAGTCAATTCATACAT